GCGGCCTTCCATGCCTGTCTCCCCCAGCCGGTCGCATGGCGTGTCGGCCAGAATAATGTGTTGACCAGCATCAAGCTAACCGCAGCTGCTCCCACGCCAACGGTCACAGCCTGCATGTACACGGTTGTAATCTCGCCTCGTGTCCTGTCAAACGACGGAGGTGGAAACAAAACTTGCATACCCGTATGCGCGTCTTGCGATTCCTGTCCTTCGTTCTCGAGATGTTCGTCGCTCTTGTTGATGGCGTCTTTACCGGTCATTGTACGTGGATCGGACCCTGCAGCGCTCGGGTTCTTTGCGGTGCTCTTCAGCTCTCGGTCGGTATAGTCGTGAATCTTGATGGGTAGATGGGTGATGGGATCTGTGACTTCGCGATCTGCACCGTCGGCTTTGAATTTCTTCATATCCTTCCGGGCCTGCTTGGGATCTGAGGATGTTAAGCCGTCCTCTGTCGTATCCTCGAGTCCATCTTCGTCGCCTTGGTCTTTGGCCAGATTCTGGTCCTTCTGTTCGGGTGTGTTCTTTCCGGCGTGGTCGTCTGCAAGTGGCTCGTCCTGCTCGATGTTCTTGTTCCTGACTGGGTATGGCCCATTGCCGTCGTTGTCCAACTCGACGTCTCTTCCATGTCTGAAGACGTTGACGGCGTCCCCTAGCCGGTCGCGTGTGCTCGGTTCGTTACTGCCATCTGGATGACCGTACTCGTCTTGTCTCCTTTGCTTCTCCTCCCTGTATTTCTGGACCGTAGGTATCGGGTTATGGGCGTTGTGTGGCCGCCGGTAGTTCTTACGCCGGGCCTCTACGTCCTCGACACCGGACATGATGAAGCAGCGCGGACTGGGTTGTGTCGGTAGTGGTAAAGGTGATTCGATGAGCAGCGAGTGGCGGACCCGGCCAATTAGTGGTTGGGGGTAGTGTACAGTCGTGAATTCATTAGTCGTGTGAGATCGTGAGTCGTGGGAAAGCTTGCGAAACCTGTCGCATTGGCAGTGGAAACAGGAAAAGCGCTAAGACAGGGAATGTTCTGCTCTGATCGCAATTGACGTAGGTACAAGCAAGGGACATGGGAAAAGCCCGTCTTGCATGATCCACCTTGGCGCGCTGGCCTTGAAGCGCTTGCACTTGCAGCGCCGAGGATCCGGGATGAAGACTGGCCCCGCATGATGCCCGTGCATGCCCAGGTGATGGTCTGCCGGTGGTGCTTTCTGGCAGTGACGTCACAGCTGCCCGCACTTACGCGTTCGTCAGGCCACTGCCACCAGCCACCACCGCCGCAATCGGCCACATTATTTTGCGGGGGTGCCGAGAGCCGGGCGATCCTGGCGGTTTACCGCACGACTCTACCTTAGCCTCCGTTCAAGCCTCACTTGCAGCTTCTAGCATGCTTCAAATGTGTGCAGATTCCTATTTCCAAGGCTTCTAGACGTCCAAGCTTACGCTTAGTCCCTAGCCAACGCACTTCAAGTCGTCAGTGTAACCACGGCAGACCACCAAGGAGATACAAGTGGCATACTCGCACCAAGGGTATCATTTTAACTTCTACTATGCTACTGTGACCACGTCTCGATCAATTGCTCCATATCCGCACTTGCTTGTCGGCGCCACCACTTCCTACCCTTTCACCATCCGGACTCCAATCCAGCGCAAATACCTGGTCCTTGTGCCCTGGCAGGTCCTCCTTTAGTTTACCAGTCCTCATGTCCCACACCTTCAGAGTCGTGTCTTTGCTGCAACTCGCCAACAGTCTGCTATCGGCGGAGAAGCAGGTCATGTATACCGGCCCAACGTGCGCTCTCAATGTGTTGAGGAACTTTCCATCTCGTGCCGACCACAGTTTGACGTGGTTGTCCCATGCTGCAGACGCCAGGAGGGCACCGTCTGGGGAGAAAGTGACCTGGTTGATCTGCTTTTGATGGCCTGTCATTCTGGTGACTGGCTTCGTACTGGTCAAAGGCGTCCATAGGATGATGGTGCAATCTTCCGAAGCAGTCGCTAAGCGTTCTACTACTTCGCCGTTGATGGTAGCGGCCTTCTCAAAGCGCGCTTTGGCTTTTGCGAGCTTCTCCTCCGGGCTAGACGGTACCTTCCGCGTGTGGTCGTGATACGAGGTGCGCAGGACAAAGTCGGTAGAAAGTGCGAGATGGTTGACCCAATGCGCATGGCCAGATAGCGTGTTCACGAGTGTACCTGTCGCCGCGTCCCAGACCTTTATGGACTTGTCATGAGAGGCGGTATATATCCGTCCAGTACCACCCCACTTCACGCACGTCACATTGCTCTTGTGACCGGACAAGGCGTAGTCGATTCTGCCGCCAACCGCATCCCAGACTCTTACTGTACCGTCCTTTGATGACGACGCAACTCGAGGCCGGCCAGGCTCTTGCAGATGGTAGGGCTCCCAAGAGAGTGACGTGATGAAACTGGTGTGACCTTTGAGAGCACTCCCAATCTGTTTCCCAGTGCTCGGGTCCCATATCCGCACTTCGTTGTCGTAGCCACCGGAAGCAAGTAGAGAGCCATCAGGTGAGTAGCTGACTGCAAGGACCCATCTTGAGTGCCCCTTCATAGTATGCACTGGTGTTCCTGTGTCGCAGTCCCATATCCTCACTGTCTTGTCTCCGCTACCACTTGCCATCCTGCTGGAGCTGACTGGCGAAAAGTTTACCGACAGAATGTTGTCTCCGTGACCCGAAACCGCGGCTGAGCAACGCGAGACTGCCTTGACGCGGAAGACTGCCTGCGGCGCATACTGGAGCACAATCTCGTTTTCTGCCGACGCTTTGCCAGGCTTGACCAAGGCATTGTATAGGTCGTCCTTGTCGGCAAGCGCTTCGGTTGCGCCGTCTGGGAAGAAGCGGTACGGTATCTGATCGTCGGCTTGGTCTTTGAGGTTGTTGAGCAAGAGTTCGAGGTTCTTGGTGGATGCTTGAGATAACGGTACAGTGAGTACTGGGATACTCCCACTTTCGCCAGTGGCTTGGTCGACGAAGCGCACCCGTACAGTGCCATCAGGTATAGTAGTGTCGATGTCTTGTTGCTCGCGCGCAAATTCGGCTTGCGCGCGCTTCTGGCGCTTTGAAGGCGGCGGATACTGGGTCGCCATAGTTCAGATATCCTGCAGTACAATTTTCGAGTTAGTTACCAGCGTGGCAGAGCTGTTTCTTACTTGCGAAGGCCCCGCTGCTACCGTAAGAAGGGAAAATAATTTCTGGGTGTTATCGATAACAGACGCGCTAGCAGCCTGGAAATAGTGGGGCGGCGCGCTAAGCTGTTCCCTCGACGCGTCTTCTTCCTTCCATCTCGTCATTCGCTCACGAGCCTCCAACCCGCTCCAGAGCTGGAGTTGGTGACATCCCCAATTGCTCAACAGCTAATCCCGCAGCGCTAACCATCATGTTCCAACGATCCAGGCCTTCAACCTCGCAGAGCAACTCCGGATCTACATCGTATGGGTACTACGGATACGGTGACTACAACACGACTACTACGTCCCGACCAGGCACTCGCAGGAACACAGGCAGACCCTCAACTGCGCGACCGAGGACTGGGGCCTCTACTATCGCTAGGGTCGAGGCTCAGAACGTTGTCTGTGCCATTGCCGAGTCTCGTGGTATCTCACCAACTGTTGGCTTGGCTTTCGTGAATCTCGACACTGCAGAAGCAGTACTCTGTCAAATCTGCGATAGTCAAACCTTCGTTCGAACAGTTCACAAACTAAAGGTCTACGGTCCATCCGAGATTCTGATCGTGTCTACTGCGGCGAGCCCTAGATCAAAGCTCTTCTCGATCGTTGAAGAAAACCTCGAAGACATTGGAAGTAAGCTGACCCTGCTTGATCGCCGCTATTGGGCTGAGTCGACCGGATACGAGTACATTCAGTCCTTAGCGTTCAGAGAGGACATCGAAGCAATCAAGATTTCCGTCACTGGCAACTACTATGCGGTGTGCTGCATCGCAGCAGTGAGTCCTTTGTTTGACTTTTGAGTGCTGTTCATAACCCAATTCACAGGCACTCAAGTACATTGATCTGGGCTTAGGTATGGTCTTCTCCGCTCACTCTCTTCGCATGAGATACGAGCCATCTGAAGGATCGATGATGATCGATGTGTCTACCATTTACTCGCTTGAACTGGTGCAGAATCTCCGCGATCCGAAGTCAAGAGATTGCCTGTTTGGTCTTCTCAACGAGACATTGACGCCCATGGGAGCGCGCCTTCTTCGGAGTAATGTCTTACAGCCACTCACGGAGCCAGAGGTACTCAACACACGGTATGCTGCAGTCGACGATATGACCAAAAAGGAAGAGCTGTTCTTCGCAACCCGGGCAGCGCTGAAGAACTTCCTCGATGCCGACCGCATACTGACTGCGCTGATTGTCACTCCAAGCAAGACCACTCTGCAGACAACGGAACAATCCATTAATCACGTTATTATGCTCAAGCAATTCGTCAATTCCGTAAGCCCGGTCTTCGAAGCCCTAACTGGAAGTGCATCTGTCATGTTGAACAACATCCGCGAGATATGTGCCCCAGGGAACGTCGCACCTGTCCAGGAACTTATCGACCGTGTCATCAACGAAGACACCACATATGCAAGGCAGCCTTTGGAACTCAGGAACCAGCGCACTTACGCCGTGAAATCTGGGGTGAATGGGCTGCTTGATGTCGCGCGTACGACTTACAAAGAGGCTACTGAAGATGCGTACCAGCATTCGACAGAGCTCAGTCGTGAGATACAGATCTTCGTTTTCAGTAAGTCCGCTCACTAACTTCGTGAAGAGGAGTACGATATTCGGCTAGACCTCAAATATGATACGGCACGCCAGTTCTACATGAAGATCGCAACAACCGAGCTGGAAGGCAAAGCACTACCGCCGATATTCACCAACGTCATTCGCCGCAAGAACAACATCGAATGCCAGACTTTAGAATTAATGAAGCGTAATCAGAAGGCATGTGGCTACATGCAGTGATTCAGGCTTTGCTGACCACCATCAGATCGCCATGTCGCACCAAGAAGTCATCCTCATGAGTATGGTCAAACTTGAAATAACAATGCGCCTGCTCACTAACTATCACCAGGCGATGAAGCGGTCGAAGCTCTCATCGATGAGGTCCGCAGTCATGTGTCTATCATGTTCAAGATCTGTGAAGCAGTCGCGATGCTAGACATGGTGACTATGCTTCGACTGTCTGTCATGTTGATGAGGCTGACCGAGAGTAGATTGCGGCCTTCGCTCATCTGGTCACAGTGAATAACTACAGTGGGTAGCATCCGTTCTATGGCGCTCAACGTAAGCCATGCTGACATCTCCACAGCTCAGCCCCAGCTCACCGATACGCTTGCAATCGAGGCCGGAAGACACCCAATCAAGGAGAAGATCATGAAGAGCAAATTTGTCCCCAACGATGTCTATGCTACACAACAGACGCGGTTCCAGATCATCACTGGTTGCAACATGAGTGGCAAGAGCACTTATATCCGATCCGTGGCTTTGATGACAATCATGGCTCAGATCGGCTGCTAGTGCGTTTGATTGGATTACAAACTCTGAGTCTCTGTGTACTAACTGCTTGCAGCGTTCCTGCTAACTATGCCTCATTTCCTATTCTGCATCAGCTGTTCGCTAGACTGGGCATGGATGACAACATTGAAACTAATGTTTCTACCTTTGCCGCGGAAATGAAAGAGATTGCGTTCATCCTACGCAATGTTGATCGACGTAGCTTGTAGGATATCGATCCATGAGTGGGTACCATATCATTGCTGACAGAAAGTAGAGTCCTAATCGATGAGCTAGGTCGAGGCACCAGTACTAGAGATGGTCTAGCCATTGCGTTAGCTATCGCGGAAGCCTTCGTTTCGAGTCGCGTATGTGAATATACCCCATTGCTGCCGCCTTCTAACGTATCACAAGGCTCTTGTTTGGTTTGCAACCCACTTCAAAGATCTTGCGACTATCATGAGTGACCGCGCTGGAGTTCAGAACCTACACCTGGCAGTTGAGGTGAGGGCGTTTCCATTCTTCCCACATCAAACCACTCACATTCTTAGATGGAAGACGCGCACAGCATGACGATGCTCTACAAGACCGCCCAGGGAGTCGTCCAAGAGATCCACTATGGCCTAACGCTTGCGCGTGTGGTGCCTTTCCCACCCGGGGTTGTGGAGCATGCTACCTTGGTTGCACAACAGGTCGAGCGTCATATGCTGCGAAAGAAAAAAGCATCCGAAACTGTGCTCAAGGAGAAGCGACGCAAGCTCGTCCTCAATCTCAAGGAGCATCTCGTTCAAGCACACACTGGTGTGTTAGAGGGGGAGGTTCTCACTGCATGGCTCAAGGAATTACAAAAGGAGTTTGTGAATCGTATGGCTGCTCTAGAAGCTGAATCTACAAACGCGGGTCAAGAGAGTGATGACGAAGAGATGATAGACAGGAGCGAGCTGAGTGAAGAAGAGCGACCTAGCACGTCCGCCAGTCCGTCGGTCATATCAATTGACTCGCATACTAGCTCCACGGATTCTGATTCTACCATTCGGGCAATGTCAGAAGCATCTACTCTGAGAGCAGTCTCCAGTAACGAGCGCTAGCAGTAACGACCATATGTTCCTATGGCTGCTAGTAGCATGGGGAAGGGCTGATATACGTGTAGGCAAGAGATTGCCGTATAAAGGCCTTCAAAGCCTAGTATGATCAAAATCAGACCTCAACAGGATAGTGATTGCTGATATACATCTGTACATAACCAGAGTTACTCGTGAAAAGACCCCAAGTTCAAGCGCGAAGCCCACAAGACTAGCATCAGGGTCACAAAAGTTGATCCGGTGTCGATCTTGCCGAACTTGTGTCTGGCCCACTTAGCGCGTGAAGCATCGGATTCCAGGGTCATGATTGGAGGCGCTGCAAAGTGCGGGGGTCCTTATCGCTCCTTCTCCGACTAAATCCCTACTTCGGACGGAACAGCTCCAGGGCTGCTGTCGGACCTTGCAACCTTATATAAGCGATCGTATACAGACCCTCATCGCGGCAACCGTCCTGTCGCTCGTTAGAGCGCGCTAGGTGAACGCATGCAGTGCAACCAACCCAGCACCTTAGTACCCGGCACCCCGGTGCACTGCTGCTCGTCGCCCAAAGGCTACCCCAGCCTGCCGAGTCGGCCCCGTATGGCATAGTCTTAGCGTGGCGTTCACCAGCCGCGCGAGCATCAGCTTCAGTCATCATTCGCACTATCTTTGCTTTCCCTGTCAATCTAAAGCGCCATGCCTCGACCAAAGAAACCCGGGGTAGAACCTAAAAGAAGATCGCGAAATGGCTGCTGGTATTATCCTAGATCAATGGAGTCTGTTCATTCTTACTCACCAAACACAGGCCGTGTAAAGCTCGAAAGGTCAAATGGTAAAGCAGTTCAATCGTGGTCTCATCAGACAGTACTAATAGCATCTCGCAGTGGAGAAGAAAAGCCAAGCTGTACCAACTGCGAGCGCCAAGGGGAAACATGCGACTACAGCATAAGACTCAACTGGGGAGGCCGTTCAAAGAAAGATAAGGCAAGTACGGCCTCTGATGCTTCGAGTGCAGCGTCTGGCAGTCCGTACCAGTCCTCCTTCCCATTTGAAGAGAACGTTTTCTCGTCTGCCCCCGAACACCCCGTGCAATCACAACATGCACGATCAACATCAAGAACATCCCCACCTAGATCTACGCATCCCATTGATCCAGCTTTGATGCAAAAGCCGCATGATGCCATCCGTACTGAAGCGTCGGGTGCGGACATCTACCTTCAAAACCAAACGTTCACGTCCGTTCCCTACAACCATACACAGTATCAGAGTACTGTTGGCGCTCGGTCGCATGTCACGTATGATTCCGGTGCTCCCAACTCCCGTAACGCTGGGTTCACATATGCCAATCCTACGATGCCGCCGCCACTGCCGGGTTCAATGGATTCGATGGCCAAACGTCAGCAGTATGGCTTCTCTACGGACTCGAACACACCAACATTCCCAGACACAAATTCGCCAAACACACTCTCACCAACGCCATACAGTCCATACTCGGCTATGCCACTAACACCGATGTCAATTGGCTCTGAAGGAAACATTATGCAAACGTCATCAACACCGCAAAATTCAGCACAATCACCGCCGGATCTCCGTCGTGTGTCTGTCCAGTCTCTCATAAACGATCTCCCAAGAAAGAGATCACGGCCGGCCGGTGACGAGGTCGGACGTGGCCGACAATATCCAATTGCCGATTCTGCTTTCACCACCTACGGATACGACTTGGGTCTCCCTGATATCGATACTCCGAGGAATGACGACTTCTCTGCTATTGCCATCTTCAGCCCACAAAGCAACACCATGGGGTTTAATGATGATACACCGTATGGTAGCGCTGACCCCCACGGCAAAGACATGGCCTTCGAAAGCGGGGGTTATTATGCAAAACCAGTTCCGATCAGGATTTCGAAGTCTTTAGAACCACTGCCGTCACTGCTCGTAGAGAACCAGATGAATCTCTTGTACTTCCATCACTTCATCAATCACACAGCGCGGGTTCTTGTCAACCATGACTGCGAGCGGAATCCGTTTCGTGAGATTTTACCAGAGAGTAGGTAAACGTTAATCTGCATGGATCATTGTTAACAGTGGCAGTGGCTGTACAAGACGAGAACATAATGAACCTTCTTCTCGCATATAGCGCGGCACACCGAGCACGCATGCTCAATCACCCCGAGCCCTCAAATCGCATCGCCGTCTGGGTGCAAGACGTGTTCCCCAAGTTACGTGAAGCGCTCAACGATGACCCCAACACTGTATCCGACAGTACTTTAGCAGCAGTGATAATGATGGCGAGTTTGGAGGTTATATCTTCTGGAACATTCGAGGTCCCCGTATCCTGGCAAAGCCATCTGACCATGGCACGCCAGATGATCATCCAGCGTGGCGGACCAAAGGGCATGGGGCGGCATGATCGTGTCGCCTATTTCCTTTCGCGCTGGTTCGCATACCTCGACGTCCTCGGCTCGCTGAGTGGGAACAAGAACGACACACCTCTTGGCTCTTTCTACTGGTCTAGCGAAAACGCTTCCGCGGACGAAGATTTTGAGATTGATTGTCTAATGGGCTTTACAACAAGATGTGTAGGATCTTTGGCTCGCGTTTCTGAACTAGCGAAGCGCTGTGAACCGCAGCGCATCGACGAAGAAGGCAATGTGAGGGAGGGCTGGACTCCTAGCCCCGAGATTGTAGAGGAAGCCGTTGAGCTTCGTCACGCACTGGAAGAAGGCTTACTGGGCCGCAACATCAGGAAAGGATGCAACCACCGCTCGAGTACTTCCTCTGAGTCTGAAGGTGCATGGGATGCAACCGAGATCTACGCGACCAACGAATTATTCCACTGGGCGGGTCTAATCCACTTGTATCGTCGCGTTTTCGGAAAACCCGCCATGGACCACGAAGTTCAGCAAGCCGTGCGAGAGATTGTGGGCCTACTGTACAAGATCCGGAGAGGAAGCACAGCAGAGGCATGTTTGATCTTTCCCATGTTTGCTGCTGGCTGCGATGCGCAAGATGACGGACAGAGGGAGAAGATCATCGAGCGACTGAGGAGTGTGGAGGGCTTCGGACTAAACCATGTAAGCTTCTGTTATCAGAAAGTAAAGACTGACTTGCTTACTCCGTATTAGGTGCCCAAGATCAGTACGCTCATGAAGAGCGTCTGGGATACCGGTAAACCGTGGGAGTCGCTCGTCTCTGGCGAGTTCTTCGGTTGAGTATGCCTTTGTGAAGAGATATTGCAGTGCCAAGGTCCACGAATCGATGCGATGACTATGACGAGTCACCACAGAGTGCTAGTGATGCTGCATTCATGTCAATCTTATAAAAGAACCCGACAGCATGGCCATTTGGTGGATCGATGGAAATGACTTCTGGGCAATGAGGCTTGCACTGCCCATGTAGAGTCAGCGCAAAGATGGCGTCCGTCGACTACACGCCCTCGACGCCGAGCATGAGAGATGCGATAGACTGGCCAATCTAAGGATCTGAAAGACGAGAGTTTGATGGATTTGAGACTTGAAAGAAAGTTGGCGCGAATATCAGACTGATGCGATATTACGGCGAAGATAGCGTAGCACATAGTCATGAGCAGAGAGGCAGATCGACCAGCGACAACCAATTGAATGTAGGAATGCAGTATTTCTGAGGGGTATCATCCATCCATCTGATATACATATCGTCATATTATACAAATGCCTTCCATGAAGCCTCGAACCCTCTGACCCACCACACCAGCATCCATGAACCAACATCCTCAACCCTCACCAAGGCCACCAACCCCCCCTGGCCACCCTGCCCACAGCCCTCGTCCCCTTCCCCACCTCATCAGCCCCCTCCCTAACCTCCTCCACAACCGCATCGACCGCCTGTCCAAACTCCTCCCTCTCCCTCTCCATCGCCTCCGTAGCCTGCCCCCACTTCTGCTGCGCCATCCACCGCTGTTTCTCAATCGCCTGCCGCAGCTCCTCCTGCAAATCGCGTATCTCGGCTTTTGTGTCGTGTGTCTCTTCGATGGCTTCGAGTTTGTACCACAGGTAGTAGGTGAGTTGGTATGTGAAGAGGGCGCCGAGGAAGCATTTTAGGAGGGGCGAGCCGAAGGTGCCGTAGTATGCGCCCTGTGGGGGATTTTGTTAGTAAAGAGGATAGAGGGAGGGTGGTTGTTGGGGTATGACGTACTACCCGCGATGGCTCTTTTGGCGGCGGTGCTGAGTTTGGGTTTGGCGGCGAGCTGGGGGGATGCGGTGCTGGTGCTTCGGCTGCGTATGTTCTTCGGGATTTCTGGCCTATGCGCTTGGGTATCGCGCTTCTACTCCATATCGACCGTGTTGCTCTGATGTGGTTCATGGTGTCGTAAAGCTGCCAACTTTTGTCCCGCTTCTGAGCTCGTTCGGTCGCCGCTGCGTGGTCGCCAGGTATTGCGGGAGGGGAGGTGTCGAAGAACGAAAAGTATAACGTTGGGTTGTTTGCGAATATGCGACACAGATTATTGCGCCGACGGTGGTAGAGCTCTCCACGTGCAAAGAAGCGCAGATACGACAAAAGTGCCTCCAGACAGAAAACGGTATAAACCTCCGTCCACTATCTCCGCGTATTCAGCTAATGCCGGTACCCTAGCGCCGCCGCACAGACCCACGCGATGCACTTTCCAAAGGGAACACGTTCACCATACAACTTGAACCCTCATTTCCGCTTCTCTTCTCCCCTCTTACCAGACACTAGACGCTCGCTTCCTTTTTCCCGAAACCCTTCCTGGACCGCGCGATTTACAGCCATCTACCTCGTTCCACGTACACAAACACACATCATAATGGTACGACACCACCCCCTTCGCGGCGCAATGGAGCGGCTTTCCCTCCCTTTGTCGCATACACACAACAGACGGAATACGTAGCTAACCATGGTCACCAATCCTACAGGCGCAAACACCACAACAGCGCCAGGCAAACATGCGTTTCGCCAAGGCGCAGGAGAAGAAGATGGGCAAGCCCGAGTCAACGGAGCCCGTGGTCAAGAAGAGGGCGCCTCAGAAGAGCCCCATTAGCAGGTTCTGGATCAGTACGTTCTTTTCGCCCCGTGGTCTACTTTCTTAGATCTTGTGACGACATGTACTGACTAGTATTCCCACAGTTGTTCTTGCTTTCATACTAGTCGGCGGTCTGCTCTTCGAGGTCCTTAAGCTCTTCTTTTAGAAAGCTGGGGTCATGCGACGCGATGCGATCGGTTACCGGACGAATACGACTTGGACCTCTACTTCGATTTCGATTCTACAAACACGGGGGGACTACACAAAGCACACATATATGCTGGGAGAGCGGATAAAAGGGAGAAGTTGGAAACAGCTTGGAGGAGCAACTTGGCTTTGAGGCCACTTTCTTGCGTCAACTACATAGGGCATACGGCGTTATAGAGGCATCGTTGCGGCATCAAGGGGACTTGGTATAGCCGATTTTGTGGTAGCAAATTACCATTGAGCATTTGATATCACATTTGTCCAAGACTCAGACACCCATCTGCAGCGTGCCTAGGCTACTACTCCTCCGGTGCATCGGCACCCTCATCCATGACCACAGTCCGCCTCTTCTTTTTCTTCTTCTTGACTTTGCCTTCTTCCTCGCCCTCAGCTGCGCCTTCAGCTGCGTTCTCATCTTGGCCCTCAGGTTTGACCTTCTTCTTTTTCTTCTTCTTGATAGGCGCTGCTTTTTCCTCTTCACCAACTTCCGCTTCCGGTGGAGGCGTTTCGGCTGGCTCATCTCCTTCCACAGCAACCTTTCTGACCTTTCTCTTCTTTTTCTTGACGGCGACTTCTTCTTTGACGTGTAATCTCTCGCTCGCTCGCTGCATCTCAAGCCGTAGTCGCTCGACTTCCTGGAGCGCCTTCTTCATCTCCGCGTCTTCCTGGGCCTTCCTTTCGACTTCGAGTTGAGTGAGCTTGCGATTCGATATGCCTTCGTCATCCAAGCTCAACGACCCAAGACCGGAGCTGTCCACCTGCAACAGTGATTTTTTCGTCTTCCCTGGACGTGGTTGCACGATGTCATCTCTCGAAGCGTCTGGTGCAGCAGGTCCAAGTGTCTCATCGCCCATGATGTCGACTTTGCGCACAGGCTTGCGCGGACTCCGCGATCGCGGTAGATGTTCAGACGATGACCCTTTGCTGTCGAGATTGAGCTCCATGATTGGAATTGAATCGATATCGAGTTCGTTGTTCTCCCTGTTGCCATCTCGCACTATCCTACTCAGTGGTGTGACTGCGCCGCTGCCCTTATCCGCTTCGGGGTCGATGTAGAACGGATCATCTTTGTAGCGTTCTTTTCTTTCAGCTTTCCGACGCGCAATGATATCAGCGTCCAGATATTCATCCTCCGCTGCGTTTTGGTATGATGTAGGTTCTTTATGCGGGGCATCCAGGCGATCTGCAGCCGGTGCAGCAACAGCAGGAGGCTCTGAGTATGCCGCTGCAGGCTCCGAATAAGCCGCATATACATCATCCTCCTCTGTCTCAAAGCCTTCTGCATCAGCTGTGTAGAGCAAATGCTGTAGGTTGGGGTTGATTGGTGTATCCAGATCCAGATCTTCAGGCAAAGGAACCTTGCGTTGAGCACCAGGAGCGACCGGGTTCAGCTCAGCACCAGAAAAGAGGGCAGGTATAGCTTGGGTAAGGAGTAGAGGTGGATCGGTGAATGCGTCCTGGTCAGCGCTAGCAGCAGTGCCTGATGCAGCTTCTGCCGCGAGACGCATGAGTTCAAGGTACTCAACTGCCCGTTCCTGGACTTCCAGACTAGGGTGTGTGGAGAGCGGCTCCAGAAAGTGGATGATACGAGCCATGAGAAGAGACATTAGCGTCTTGCGCTCCGGAGTCCATGAGACTTGATCGTTTCCAGCCATGCTAGAGAAGACCTTCGGTATCGCTTGGAGATACACAGCGAGCGTTCTCGATGATAATTGGAGAGAAGATGGGTGTAGTAGGGAGGTCATGACTGGCTCTGGGCGGGTGAGGTAGTTGGCGTACTCTCCAGCCATCCAGCCAGCGTATTCCAGTACACCTTGGCCGCCGTTTCCGGATGCTGGGAACATTTGGTCTCTCCGATCAACGAGCACGAGCGACTGTGCGGCATCTATAGCTTCCGATCGAACGCTCTTCACCCGAATGGCAACGTTCTGTAATTCGTGTCCGATGCCACCACCGATGTCGTCTGAATGTTCTATTTCTTCCTCCTCTTCCATAACCGAGGTTGCTTTTGTTGCCGGTGATACCCTGACTAGCTGAGTAAGTACATCAATGTACCATTCGAAGTCGGCAATGTTGCTGTAAGTATCGCGTGAGCACATCTCCAGGATCCTCCGAATGACGCTTATCCTGTAGTCGTCTGGCAGCGGCGGCGGCTGGTCGGATTTCTGTTCGTGCTGAGGCAGATTCTCTTCTGCGTCGGAGTCGTCGTCGCCATAAGGTGATATGCCAGTCAGCCTACCTCGGTCATTGTTGGGATCGCTCGCCGCTGAGGCAATTGGTGCATTTCGTAGCTGTCGCATCAGCCGTCCAACAATCGCTGTGAGATTGTCTGCATTAACCATGCCAACGACCAGATCCAAAGCACGCATTCGTATTGAGATATCGGGGTCGTCGATGCATTCGAGGATGACGTCTTGCTGCTGAGAAACCAAGTATGGATGTGAGGTGACGATCTTCTCGAACGCGAGTAGTGCGACATATTTTACTGCAGACTGATGAGAAGCCAAACGTTGAACAACAGTGTATATTAGCTTACAGTTTGCATCTCCCTCTATGATCATCATGCCACGTAGTTTGCCAACACATAGCTTTGCTACCTCCTCACCTTCCGCAGTACCTTCTACGGCTTCTAGGATACCACCCTGGATGATACCACTGATACATTCGTAAAGTAACGACATGGCAGACGTCTCCCGTATAATCTTGGTCAACGGAGGTAGCAGTTTCTTGATGAGTCGGGGTTCTAATGGGGTTAATGTTGCAAACTAAGGCAGGTCAGTTCAAGTTCTGGTTTTATATCCTCTGAGCTCAGTGCTTACAAGTTTGATGAGTTTAATGGCCATCCAGTTGTTGCCTCCTTCTACTAAGAGATCAAATAGTCTCGGTGCAAGCGGTAGGAAATCCTGTGGTCTCCTCCATCCCAGCTCGCACACGACGTTGACGATTGCCGCTGTGACGCTCGCATCCTCATTGTCATCTAACAAGCGCTCCTTGATCTTAGGCCATGCGGGTCGCAGTGTCTCTGGATACACAAGAGCCAACCGGTATAGCGTTACGACGGTCTTCTTCCGGACCATTGCGTGCGAATGCGTCAGCCGCGGTATTAGGTCGGAGAGGACCGAGTTGGCCATGCTCGGGTTTATGACGTGTGGTATCGCGCCTAGCGGGAGGGCGATGTACTGGGGACTCGAGCTCATGATGTCCTTCTTGAGCTGGTTCTCGGCGAGCACGAGGACTTCGGTATCCCGTCGAAAGCTCTGTACCGCGGCCAGGTAACCCGTGCGCTTCTGCTTGAACTTGGAGCTTGACATGACCTCGAGGACGTTGAAGCTGGCCCAAGACATGTCGTGGCCGAACATCTCGAGGTACGTGAGCTTCATGAGGGCCGTGGCCTTGAGGTCCATGTCGTTGGTGCGTATTTCCTTGCGACATTCTTTTATGCTCTCGGCGATGTACTCGCGCTCGCTGCCTTTGTGGTTTCGGAGGCCCCGAATGAGGTCGAAGAGAGATTTCTCGAACCTAGGGGGTTGTTAGTCACGACACTTGTATTGGAGATTTGGTGAGCATTGCATTTTGGCGTGGCTCAGGCAGCGTCACGCGGTCGTGTGTCGAGGTGTGCAAGCGCGCGAGGAGGGGTAGGTGTGCAGCGTGAGGGTGAAGGTGGTGAGCGACTAGGCATCATCATTGGGAGGCGGTCGTCGTGGCGGGCATGTTTGGCGACATGAAAGCGGGCTCTAGTCGGTCGTCTGCAGGGAAAGCGACTGCTTGTCGGGTCGAGGCTGTTGACGTGCACCTGGAGTCGAGAGGCTCCACTACCGAACGCCCGCTAGTTTCGCCGGCGGAAGCTTGGGACAGGCATCCCCATCAGCTTACCTAACTCGACATGCTTCTCCAGACACTCTGTCGCCATTGACACGCACTCGACACCCCAAGTCGACGCCCGCAGCCGCCAGCATGACACAAGCCAACCTCCTCTCTCCACCCGCGCAAATACCACCGCCCACCGCCCTCGCCCTGTCCCAAAAAGCCCCCCTCGTCCTCTCCACAACACCAACGTCGACGCTCCCGTGGCCCCTCTCGCTGCTCTTCTCCCGCGAGACACCCGAAACATGGACCATCCACGAGAACCTCTTCCTGTCGACACTCCGCACCGGCGACGAGAATGCCGCCCTGTCAATTCTGCAGCGCCTCGAGGCCCGATTCGGCGACCACAACGAGCGCATCATCACATTGCGCGGCATCTACAACGAAGCAACGGCCCGGTCAGACGCCGAGCTGGAGAAAGTGTTCGAGGCTTATGAGAAGATACTCCGCGACGACCCCACCAACATGAGCATCCGGAAGCGGAGGGTTGCCGTGCTCAAGGCGCTGGGCAGGACCGCCGATGCCATCACCGCCGTGGCCGTGCTCCTGAAGAACAGCCCCACCGACTCCGAGGCATGGGCGGAGGCAAGCGAGCTGTATGCGAGCCAGGCAGCGTGGGGACAGGCGATATACTGCGCAGAGGAGGTTCTGCTCATCACGCCGAATGCATGGAGTGTGAGTACCACAGTGCCCCGACGATGCCATACGTGTACTAACCCGCCCTCAGGCTCACGCACACATTGCGACGCTACACTACCTCTCCACAGCCTCCAACAACCCACCCAGCCTCAGCTCCCTCGCCCTCTCACTAAAGCACTTCTGCCGCTCCGTCGAGCTCAACGACGCCTACCTCCGCGGCTACTACGGCCTCAAGCTCCTCACCACAAAGCTCAATGCCATACTCTCCGACTCCGACTCAGCAGCCAAGCGCAACACACAAGAAGACGACGACGTCCCCGTCCCCAACGCCCAAACCGTCAAGAAGCTCGAGGAAATCGCTACAAACAAGCTCGCAGAAATCATAAGGCAATACAAGTCAGGAAACAAGGCCTGGCAAGGCTACGACGAGGCCGAGATCATCGCGGCGCGGGAGCTGTTAGACAGAGACGGCAAGACGGAGCGGTGAGGGACTGCATCCGCAGCAAGTGACTGAAATGGTCATGAAACGGGGCGTTTTGGGCGTCTTTGGTGTAGACACGTGGAATACGTTCCTGGACAAAGTGTTTCCAGCACAGTTGCTAGATACCATTCCAAGTGACTTATTAATCAATCATCAACAAATCATAATGCAAACACCGAGAACAATCACGAGTGCACATGTGTAGCCAGAGATGGAGTGAAGATTGTGCATACAAAGACGCTTAGCAAAGGGTATATATCCATAATTATTATTACGAGAAGAAGCCCATCAGCTCCCTCTCAAGCTCAATTCCCTCGTATGCCATTTCCCGCTATCTTCGTCCCTGACCAGGTTCAACGCTCCGAAAAAACAACACCGGACCCTTTCATGCAGATCAGAAGAACAATGATAGATGGATCGTTTCCCAATTTACCCCACACCACAAATGCCCTAATGTGGATATATCTGCCGTCGATGCCAGATGCTAGATGAGATAGCCTAGCGGAGCCGATACGAAGAAGTAAGAAAAGAATAAGAAAAAGGTAAAACAACGCCTAAAGTTGCTGTAACATGTATGTTTTCCTTCGGTTGAACAGAAACAACAAAAACCCCACCTGTAAATGCCGGTAAATGAAAAAGAGAAATACAAGAATCTCGGCCATGGGCCATGTTAAATCGCTTCCATATATCTTCAAGAAAGTGGTGGTGGAATGGGAGGAGGAAAGAACAATTAACGGGACTCGTTTCTTCTTGTTGTTTTTCTTTCCCTGGAACCATGATATCCGTTGTACGCGGGCGTTTCTAATGTAATGCGTTTGTAGGTGCGATGAGAAAAAGGTTCGTGTATGCGTCGCGAATGTGCGTAACAACACCTAGATGTTGAGACCGCGAGTGAGATCTTCAAGGCCGGAGCTGTTGTTCTCCTTGCCCTTGGAATGCTTGTTCTTGCGTGCAGCCATCTTGCCCCAGTCTTCGTCTGCGTCGTCCGTCTCAGCGGGGGCCATCATTTGCGGGCCGGGGCTGCCCTTCTTCAGGATGCCCTTGATGGTGCTGGTCCTAGCCTGGTTTGCGCCGCCGCCCGAGGCTTGGAGTGTCATCGAGGTGCCGTTGGAGACGGCGTCGGAGTGGTTGACGACAGGTCGGTACCTAGCAGACAGACCAATGTTAGAACGCTCGGATGGGGCGATGGAGGGAGTGTACCCTGGATTCGGGCCCATGAACGACATGGCGCGCTGCTGCGGTTGGTTTCCGTTGCCTGACATGAAAGACATCGGTCGGTTTTGTCCGTTCGGTACATTGAGGAAACCCCCGCCTCCCATTGTACTGCCCATCGTGCTACCAGCGTAGCCGGGGTTGGGCATGGCCATCGACATCCGGGGATCTTGTTGTTGGGGCTGCTGCTGCATCATCTGTAGCTGCATTTGCTGCATGGCGATCATCTGCTGCATTTGTTGCATCTGCTGCATCTGCTGCATGTAGTCGTTCCCTTGCTGCATAGGGTATCCCATCTGTCCCATACCCATTCCCTGCATTTGCCCACCCATCATGGGGTTCATCATGGGGTTCATGCCGTTCATCATGGGCATGTGTGACATCCGCATCGGGTTCTGAGGTTGGCCGTTCGTGTTCATTTGCTGTCCGAGAACACCAGTGAAAGGCCCTCCCTGGGGCTTTTTCGCCGAGGCACCTCCCATGTACTTTTGCTTGGTCATATCCCTCATCTGGATCTGGTCCACGAGCGAAGGCTGCGACATACCAGCATCTTGATACATCATGTTAGGGCCCATGCCCATGTCTCCAGCAATCGAGCCGCCTGCGACTGATCCAGGACCACGCGCAAAGCCATTGAAGCCCATAGACTCTCGGTTGGTCGGCCGTACCAAGCCTCCTCCAATGAAAGAGGAGTTGTAAGGATCCTGGGGCAAATGTCTCGCGAACGCAGGCAGATTCCCTTGGCCCATGCCGCGTTGACTCATGGCACCTGCTGAGGCCGGGCGATCGGGTATGTAGGAAGGCATCGAGTTCGTCGGTTGGCTGGGGAATCTGTTGCGAGCTTGACTGGGGAAGCCGTGTTGGGCGAGAATGCCGAGCGGTACATCCTCGTCTTCCCATTCTTCGGCCTTCATGGAAGTTTCCGACGGGAAGCCCATGTGATCTGCTCCCGGCTCTGCAAGACCCCCAGGAGCTGTGGTAGACCGTCGCATAGCCTCGCGGGCAAAGTGCATCTGCTGATTCTTGCGTCTCATGAGCTCTTCTTCCTCTCTTCTTTTGATGGCATCCTCCTCGTCCTCGTAGTCTTCGTCGTCGGAGCTTTCCTCAGGTGGTGGCTTGTTCATTTGCTTCTTTTGGTATTCCCTGAATTCGGCCTGCGACATTACTCTCCTACCAGCCGCTGTACCAGGGACGGATGCAGTGTTGCTGTCTGAGGCTACTGCGGCAGGTTTCTTTGCTGTCGTGATTTGTTGCTTGGGAGCAGGCTTCGACGGCGCGAACAAGTCTTCGTCCTCAGCGTCATTGTATGGAGAGGCCGTCCGAGCGAGGGAAGCTTTGGGGGTTGTGTTTGTGGTCGTGCTCGAAACAGTGGCTGATCGAGATGAATAGGGGGTCTGGTAGGAATTGGCAGACGACGTTGAGGTGGAGTTGAGCTGTTGTTCCGGAGAGCTTTCACGATATGACTTCCTATCGGTATATGATTTGCGTACGAACTGTGCATCTGCATCTTCGAAAGTAGGTGCTGGTTGGAAGGTTGGGCTTTCTGAGGCGACTGGCGCATACGATGAGTATTTGTGGGGAGGCGGCGGCGGCGGCGGCGAGTCGTTGTCTGAATTTGGAGAAGCCATGAGGTTGTCGGTAGAGTTGCGACTGTCCCAGCTCTTCATTGGCGGTTCAATGCCAGTGGGCGGTAGAATCTTGATGGGTTCTGCTTGGAACGTGCGCTTCTCCGAAAGCAGTGAGCGTCCTGCGGTCTCTCGTTGAATTTCGGGAGATTCCTTGCGGCTTAAATGGCCAAACATGTCGTCCTCAAAGCCGCCGAAGTTCAGATCCCCCTCGAGCTTGGGCGGGACTGCAGTGCTCGCGTAGCTGGATGTGGTCATGGCGCGATTTCTGCCACTCCACCCTGTCCCTGACAGATCCTTGTATGAGGAGACGCCGGAGCTTGACTTGGGCAATGAGGGAAGATTCTTGCGGAAAGCGCTCACCGACGACGGAGCCGGAGAGCTGTTGTGTTGTGAGACGGCCGGTCGAGGGATATTAGTAAAGAGGTTGTCGTCGGAGCTGGTGTCGGTGGAAGAAGGAAGTGTAGAGGTGGAGCCATGTTGGCCATTGGCGTAGGGTCTCGAATTGGAAAATTGAGTCCCACTGCTTGACTTGCTGTCGCTAATTAAAGGGTCAGTCCGGCCGACGCTATGACTAGTGGATACGAAGCTTACCGTTTTGACGATCCTGGAGACTCATCGTCAACGGACTGGTTGCGATTTTTGCTGCCAGGATGGCTGAAGCCGCTGAAGCGAGGAAACTTTGATGATCTCTCTTTTTCCTGTGTCTTGCGCTGCTCTTTTGCCTTTTCTACTTCCGTCTTGCTCAGCACCCGGAAGGCACCAGAATCAGCGGGTGCAGTTGTGGTGACTGGGCTCGTTGCGATGTCGACTTCGTCGAACACATTGCCCTGAGACTTCCGACGGGCGGTGAATATCCCTAGGCCTGGCTTGCCCATGTTGATGAGTTGTGGTTTCCAAGTACGAGAAGCGACCAATGCCTCGGGCGGCCTATTCTGATGTGAGATGCGCTATCATATACTCCAAGACGGGCGATGCGTGGCGGTTGTGGTCGAGGAAGGAGCGACGGGTGCGGTCAGGAAGGAGCCAAACGTGGGGATGGGCAGGTAACGAATGGACGACTTGATCTAAACGTCTGGTATTAGCTCT